GAAAATTTGACGGTTTTGATTACTGCAAATGCTGCAGGTCAGCTTGCACCACCGATGATTGTGTATAGGTACGTATTTATTATTCTTTTTTGATTCATATCCACAGTTCTTCTAAGTACTTGCATTTGCCAGTAGTGGAAACTTTACAGGTACGCAAGAATTCCCGCCAACATAGCTCATTCGGTACCACCTGGATGGGCAATGGGAAGGTCAGAAAATGGCTGGATGACGCAAGAAACGTTTTACGAATATATGGCGATTATATTCGAACCGTGGTTAACATTGACCAATATAGCCAGACCAGTGGTTTTTTTCATGGATGGTCACACGTCACATATGTCTCTACCATTGACTAATTTTTGTTTAAAGCATGAAATAGAACTAGTGGCACTTTTTCCGAATGCAACTCACCTTTTACAACCAACGGACGTGGCCGTATTCCATACGTTAAAAGCAACTTGGAAGCAAAAAGTATCGGAATGGAGAATGGCCAATGATGGGAAACAAATCGCTCCTGTGCTGAAGTCCGTTCTAGATGAATTGTTAGATAAGACAATCAGCAATGGATTTAAAGCATGTGGTCTTATGCCATGGGATTCAAAAGGGAAGTACCGAACCTGATGTGAGCAAAACTGATAGATCAACTAAAAATAAAGACTTGGAAATTTTTTTAAGAATGTTTCAACATGAAATAGGTGAAGCAAAATTGAACAATTTAAAACATGTCATGGAGAGTGGACAGGGTCAGTAGAAGATAGTGGTTTATATGCTATATGGAAAAAAACTACAGACCAATTAGATTTGGAGGTGCAGGTAGGTGCTTCAATAAATAGTATTAACTTTATTAGCATGTTTTATGATCAAAAGGTGGCATTTGTGGACGCAAAACAACCAACGGTTAGCACTCCTTCAGAATCTTTATCCTCAACTCCACAAAATGTTATTCTTGATGTTACACCAGTAACAGAACAACCGGGAACGTCATATGCAGCCCCAAAAACACCAACAGATGTTGATACGGGCGAGTTGTCAAATACGGTGGCAGCCTCGGGAGCAGCAGAATCTAGGTCAGACTTGCCTATGATTCCGTCACCATTTAAAAGGGCGTTTTTATGGCCGGTTCAAACAGCTGGCCCAAAAAAGAGAGCGAAGGAAAAAATTCCCGCTGTGTGTACGTCTCCAAGTATGCTCACTTACTATAAGAAGAAAGAGGAATTAAAGCAAAAAAAAAAGAAGAAGAAAAAGAAGAAAGAAAAATGAAACGAGAAGAAAAGAACCACAGAAGATTGACGTATGTTTTCAAAAAAAAAAGTTGCCGTCAATGAAATGAATGTAATATTTTATATTTTTTTTGTATTATAATACTTTTTTCATGACTGTGTTTTTTTGTAAAATCTACCATTTATTAAAATACTAATTTAATATTCTCATGAGTTCGTAACATTTCTTGTCTAAATCCAGGTTTAAACAGTATATAAAGTCATTCCAATGTTGGCTCAATTTTGGGGGGTCCATTATTAGATCTACACATATAAGGGGTGTTCATTATTGGTACATGCTCCCGAGAATGTTTGGAATTATCTAATGGTACTTTAGAAGGTGCATGTTAACGTTACATCCATTGATTATTGTAGACAAAAGTTGATAGTAGTAGAATCCGGCTTGCCGTCATTGTCATTGTCCTACTTCGAGAGAAACTGGAAATCAGTTTTAATTGCATTTCACCCTAAAAAAAATATAAGGCAGTAGCGACTCAATTTATTACGCGGTATTGCCATGGAACCAATTTCGTAAAAAAATATTATATTGATTTCTCACACATTTAGCGCCCGGGCTAGAATTTCTGTATCCAGTCGATTATAAACCCACAAATGGCGAATCCTCTTGTCTACATTCCCCGGGCACAAATTCACCACATTCTATTTGTTCACAATCAAGCGTTTGCGACGGAGAATGTTTTCCCATTATGCCTTCCCAAAAGATTGTATAAGACATTAGGCAGAACAATGTGATCTACCTTAGATGGAAATTTATTATCTGAATGGAAAATACCAAATCTTGATGCTAATATCCCGAATGCGTTTTCTAACGTTCGTCTAGCTCGCGATAGTCTGTAATTATATATTTTTTGCTCATAATGGAGTTGTTTTTCTGAATATGGCTACATTAAGTTGGGAAGAAAAAGAAAGGCATCATCCGTTAAAAAAGTACAGACGTGAGGAGTGTTTGTTCAAATACATCGCCATCTTCATAATTTGGCAGCTTGAAGGTAGAAAAACTACGTATAATACCCACAAATTTTTACACAGTCCTTTTCTTATAGGAAGAGATACAGTCCGAGACGCCACCCCTTTCCCCAACCCCTGGATTGGAAGAAAAATCATCATCGAGTACCGATATAATCCAACATTCTGAACGTGTACGAGCAAGGGGTAAACTAAATAACAAAAAAGAAGCGAGGATCCACAAGACTGTGGGGGTATTGAACAAGGAATGGGATGCTTTTGGAGTAGCCGTCGCTTTCATATTGAGGAAAATGGATCGGGGGCAAGCTTTTTTTAAAGTACATAAATTCTTAAAAACGACCTGCATTTATACAAACCATGGTATAATAACATATATTTAAAAACTTTGAGATAATTTGATCAAGACATCATCAATTCATGACTTTTATTACCGAGAAATTTCCACAGCTCTTGAAGTTGACAGGTTTTCCTGAGGCGTTATCACGGAGACATTGGGTGTTTGTAAACCTCTAAAAAATATAATGAAAAAAGGTAACCTATGATAATAATAAATCAAAAACCTTGCTTTTTCTTTCACATTCAGCGGGGTTGATGTTTACTGTGATGTGGAAGGTTGCATTTAGAATTCCGTTTTCCCTAAGCATAACGTTGGGGCTGTGTTTAATTTTACATGACAATGATTTCCCTTAATGTAAAAATCCTTTTTTTCAAAATGTTTCGAACAGATCAGTTTATATCGGGTAGTCTTCAAATCTAAATCCTGCCTCCCTAGAGCAATCAACCATTGTTGTAATCTGTGTTCGTCGCGTGGAAACCTAAAAGTATTTCTCATTAATTCAATTACTTGCGTCTTTATTCCGTTACTTATGGAAAGTGATGCCCTTCGGCTTGAAGCGGCGAATGTTCTTGCAATCTTTCACTATACAAGTCATTTCACGTGTTAAGGTTAACACTTAACCCAAAACATAAACAAAATACGACACAAAGGGTGTAAAAATGGCGGCGTCCATACGGTCGCGTACTTTTCTGGATGCGCACTCGTCGATCACCAATCTCCCCTCTCTAATGTCTCTGGCAAATATATTACTTTTAGCCAAGCAAGATTTCACTATTCCATGGCATGGAGTATGAGGCCATCGGTTCATAACTCGACCAAATAGTGAGGCACGCTCTCTTTCATATAAAACATTTCCAAATTGGCCAATGGTAGCCACAGCAATAGACTTCCGGTCTTCTGCGGTTACCTAAATAGATAATTTTTCCTAATAGTTTAAGGGTGTCTGTGTATGACATTAGTATACCTGCAGATCGTTCAATAATTTTCTGCATTCGATGGTTACCATTGTGTCAACATCTGGTTCCTCGGAATGTATACTGTCAACTGTCTTGGTGTTGATGATTTTTTGTGGCGTGTGCGAGTTTCGAAAGCCGTCGTTTAGCTTTGCTAGCAGCTTTAGCACATTGCTCATTTACGAATTTTTTGAAGTAAACTCCTGAACTTCTGGTAAATGTGTTTTTCCATGCGGGGATGGACCAATTGGGACCATTATTATAATGTAGACCCGCAAGGCATACTCGTGTACCATAAGAGTTACGTTGAACTACAGGTTTAGTCTTACCCATGTTAAATCTGGCTATGATATCCATAAGCCCTTCCACCGCCTTGTTATTTTCGTTGGCAATCAAAAGGTGAGCTTTCTTGGCTAAAAGATTATCACTACCTAAACAATGGTTGCTGTGATGGTAAGCATTAAAAATTAAAAACACTTTCAATGTGATTTTATTGTTTGTGTCTTCAATGTTGTTACATACTTCTTCCCTACATTTAAAATGTTCACCCATACACGTGATGCAATCTGTTCACCGAATTCAATTGGAGCATATCACTGTCCACATTTCGCCCTTTTCGTTAACTTTTTAATTTGGAGTAAAGTTTTCATCCAGCCAAACTAATGCCCAATGTCATTTTTTATGGGTCGGAGATTTAAAGCCACAGTTGTTCAAGGAATGGTTAGTGCACTCCATTTTCCTCACTTCTGCATCTTTCTTTTTATTCTTGCGTATACGCTTGAATCACGATCAGCAATAAATTCGCAGTACCGCATCCCATGTATCCCTTCGCTCTTTGTGAATCCTTCAACAAGCATATTTGCACCCATGAATAAGAATCTCTGTCTTTCCCAAATTTATGTTAAATTCTTAGATGTTGGCATATATATATATATATATATATCGCGAAATTTTGGGAATCTTAACTAGAATGGACAAGGGCGGTTTCCATGTAATTAATTTTTTTTTTAATTTACATTTTTGTTTTGTATCGTTCGTTAAGTACATCAACAGAAATTATTGTTACGAAAAAGAGGTCAAGGTTTGTAGTGTTTACATTTTAATCTCATCTTTAATTTTATTTAACGTAGATTTCTGAGAATTTTATATCGCTTTTATTCTGTTATCATTGTAAACGCTTAATTTAATTGACAGGTGGATGTTATTTATCGCCTTTTCATTGTATTTAAAAGATAGAAAATTCTATTTTTCCTAGTATTTTAATTTTGTGTTATCTCTTAATGTCGGTTAAAAATTGATTATAAAAATAATTTCTACCTCTAGTTTAACTTACCTAAGTGGGGAAATTTTCTGTTGTCAACTGCTTATCATTGGCTAGTTTAATTTGTAATTTTTGAAGAAGGGTTTCCACTTTAAATAGAACGGAGAGAGAAGAGGAAGGGCTTTTTGCCAGAGTCAACAGAGAACTACGTTTCTTTGTTTGAAAAATTTAAATCGTTTTTTTTGCCAAGTGGAGAGCAGATCCACGTCTGCAGAAGTTTGAAGTTTGTTTTGGAGTTGTGAAGTTTTTATCGTCAGTTTGTTGCCAGTCAGGGCAGTTTTTGGTTTGAGTGAAGATTGTTTTATTTCGCTTCGGCGAGTTACCGCAGTAGTTTGGATTGTGTAGAGGCCAGCCAGTTTTGGAAGTTGGTGGAGTTTCCGTTTTACGGAGTAACAAGCCGAGTTGCGGCAGTTTTGGAAGTTTGGACCTTCAGTGAAGTGCGTCACTAAGGGGTGTCGGCGCCGACTTAAGTGTTTGTTTGTGTAATTTCGTATTTTGTTGTATTTTTTTGTGTGTACCGTAATTGGGATTAGCAGTTTTGGACATGTACCGAATGTAAGTAAGATTGTTTTAATTGTAGTTTTTTTTCTTTGTAATAATTGTTTTGTTTTCCTTGTTTTTTTTTATTGCGTAACCATTAAAACTGAAATTTGTAATTCTCACATTAATTTCTGTGTTTTGTCTTTCGAACGATTTCATTTCCTTTAATTTACTGTTTTCTTTTAAGACTTGCCCAAGGTCCATTTTATTTAATCAAAATTCTTAGGATCGATTTGGAATTTAAGGTCTTTGGTCTAACCCACTATCTGTTAGAAGTTAATAATTTAACTGAGAAGAGTCGAATTCCTCCTCTGTGTTGGGGAGAAGTTTTGTTCTGAGGAAGATAAAGGTTTGAGCTAGCTAGGTTGGTTTAAGTGTTTTGTGTACGGTCTTTTTGGCCAACGGACCGGTGTGTATATATATATATATATATATATATATATAATGCCCTTATTGAGCTACACCTACACGAAAAAAAATTTGTTTTCATTACCAACTACTCACTACTCAAAGGGCGGAGTTCAGATTGTAATAAAAATTATTACTCCCTGCTCTTCCATTCAACCCAAAATTGAAAGTTTAAATGATGATACCATTTAAAAAAAAAAACGACGTAACTATACTACCTACTTACGGAAAGAAAAAGAAAGTAACTATACTACAGATGATCTTACGAAAAGAAGAAGAGAAAAAAAAAAGAAAACACACATTTGAACTTCAGATAACAATTGCAACATCACCTGGCTACTGTGCTTGCTTTTGTGGTATGAACATCTTGCAGTTCCTCTTAAACTGTTTTAAAGAAAGTGATTTGAGATTTAGAGGGAGTGGGTTATAACTCTTGTAGATGTTGTAACTAAAGCATCTTTGAAATAAAGCTGTTTGATGGAGTGGCGGACTTACTAAACCCCTAAATCTCAAATTTAAATTATGTACGTCGGTTCTATAGGTTATTTTATCATGGAGGTACGCCGGTGTCTTATTTAGGATGATAGAATGGTAAAGCACAAGACTATGATGCAGTCGCCTATTTTTCATATTGAGCCAATTTAAATCTTTCAATTTATACGTGATTCTATCATATTTCCTTATGCCGAAAATTAATCGCATACAACCATTCTGCAACTTTTGAATGCGCAATTTTCTAGTATACGTCTATACATAATTGCATATTGCCACTTATACATGTGCGAAAGTCTTTAATATGCATGTGCCTTGGCCTTGCCCAAATAATTTCTGGGATTAATTTAGACACCATATGCAAATGAAATGCCTTATGCTTAATTGTACAATGACCTATATGCAAAAGCAAAATCATTGCAGTTGCCTATTCCAAATGCAGTATGATATTTAAAATCATTTTTGTTTTGTTTTGTGAACGGTTGGCAATTTAATTTCCAACCCACAAGTATTTGCTTTTGGGTACAAAGTATCCTCGTGCAAGAAGGAGATTTGTGGTTTATTTTCATAGCCCAATAGTGGTACTGACTCGGCACCAGTGCGTATTATTCTTCTCAGGGTGCATACACCGGCGACCTCTATACCCAAAAAAAACAAGTTCACACCACAATGAAGTATTCATTGCAGATTCTATTTGGAGGAAAACTAACGACTGTAGCGCCCTCTACTGTGAACCGGTGGAATAACATGCGATTATTGGCTACCCAAATTATTTTAGAGCAAAAATGTATTAAGGTTTTTTTTACGTCAATCAACTGTATTACTTTTCAATGTTTTGCATAATAAAGACGGAAAATTGCAACAATAAAACCCGCATCTTTGCAATAATCTGTAATGCCATGGAATTTTATAATACAAAAATTACGCCAATATCCGTCTTGCCATGGAATGTCTGCTATAAAACAAATCAAATTCTATCAAAAAGTATTATGTTTAGAACAGCGAATTCAACATAAAGAACGACCAAATTACTAAAAACGATTTCCTATTTACAATAAATGTTCGAATAAGACACCATTAACTGCAAGACAGTAACCAAGTCGAGCATAAAATCCATTTCGAAATGCTGTTAATTGATAACTGGATATCTTTTTGTTTTAGAAAATTCCATGGCATCGCAGATTATTGAAAAAGATGCGGGTTTTATTTTTCCAATTTTCCGTCTTTATATGAAAAAAATGGAAAACTAATACGGTTGATTGGCCTAAAAAAATGTTTTTTCTATTTCGGTGTTACAATGAGAATTTTGTGCAACTGTTTTCCTCAAAAACAGTGTTTCAATGAGTTCCATTGTAACATTGTTTTTGGTAACTTTTCATCTCTAAGTTGGCAGTTCGCCAAGACGTCAACGTCAAATCATCAGATGTGAAATCAAATTACGTAAAATTTATGTGTTTTCCTTGATTTTTGGTACACGAAGAACTTAATACATTCCAAATCAGCAGTTTACACATCCACCATAAATAAATGTATCTACGAATAAAAAATTACACATTCACGGAATTTAAAGTTTCCAATTGTCAGTGTTGTGTTTATCTACGCTGCCAACTTAAAATTTGTCAACGTAAATAGTGTTGCCAACTTAAGACATATTAATTCTAAAGTTTCCTGTAGTTTTTCATATTCGCTACGCCACTCGTGCCACAAGATAGTCGTATTACAATAGGTCGCATTGTAACACTTGTCTTTCAATATACTATTCTACCAAAAACTTTAAAACATTTTTGCTCTAAAATAATTTGTGGAGCCAATAATCGCATGTTATGAATTTTACATTGAAATCCCTATGACGCGTTACGCAAGTCACCACCCTGTATAAAGTTTGGTCAAAAATATATGTATAAAGTTTTCATATTGCAAAATTTAAACTATTGATGTGATATATATTATTTCGGAAAATATATATTATTCCGAGTAAAAGTTTATATATTAATTTCTCTAATATATTTGTTAATTTGTCTACATTATTTCCGGTTTTAATTATGACATAAACGGCGCCTCATATTCACGTACCATACCAACATAACAAAACCCACTTCCGAGAATTAAATTAGCCTTGATCTGATCACCAAGAAATTTTTCGTGTTATAATGTTGGTACGGTGTTCATTCCCAAATGTAACTTTTCAATGGACTAGTACGACTTGCCAAACTGTTTTTACTTGTTAAACTGAAAAAAATACGCACGTCTGTAAAAACGAAACCTACACTGGACTTTGTAGCACCAGAACTTCAATTTCCTTTGATAGATGGCATCATGTGTAGCTTTTAATATGAAATAGCAGTCGTACGATTCACCAAGTAGTACCGTAGTTGCCCTCACACTGGTTAGACTTTTCACGTACAATGCAAACAACTTCGCCATTACGGCTATAATTGTTTCCGTCTCTTTATCGCTCATGTGTTGACATGCGTTATATTTTTTATAACATTAAATATGTAAGAAGTGCTTCTCTTTTTTTCCTGATTTGCGGTTAAACATTACCCACATGAATTGAATTAAATGCGCTCCCGTTCAAAAAAAAAACGTACACGACCGAAGCTTGAGCGGCGCAACGCACTACGTCCCTCAACATCGTTCGTCAATATGAACACTTTCATTTAAAATAAATTGCCCGCATTAGTTGAAAGCGCTCGATCGGTGCCAATGTGAACGCGACCTGTACATTCACATCGCACTGAAAAGACCGCCTGTTAAAAGTAACACTTTGAAGTTGTGTTAAATTTCCGCCATTAATTGTAATGGATTTAACGAGTTCACGTATTTTTATAAAAAAAGATTCTTTTCGAAAAGCATAGGCACCTAAGAAATGTAAACCAGAGCATTCTTGATTAGTGCATGCGCGAAACCACAGCATCTCTGCAAAGCGACGTGGTGCTGGGCATCCCAGGCAGTCCGGGTTCGACGCCGGGAGATTCTCTACGTTTCGGCGATTTTCCAACGCTACGCGACGTGATTGATCGTAAATACTATTTTAAGTACCTATCATAGTTAGAGATACAAATCAAACGTTTAACATTTTTCTCGCGGTTTTGACATTTATTTGGGTTTCGTTGTGCGAAAGTCCTTAACTTATGGTAGTTTTTTAATTAAATTTTAAGCTGTGTCATATTTCAACTCTTATAGTTATTCAGGTGAGTTATACTTTAATTTTTATCAATTTGAGTGCGTATGTTAATACATGTTGCGTAAACTGTAAAAAACAAGTTTTCTTTCACCCCATGAAATGATAGCTTGAAGCGTTTTAATTTTCAATTAAATATGAAATACCTTTTGTTTTCACATTTTGGATAACTTGGGGAAAATAGCAAACGCATTGGGTTAAATATATTAATTTTGTAGTAAGTTAGCTGCTTTACTTTCGCTAATAACCTTTTTCACTCGTTCCACATATAAGAGATATCCTACCTTAAGGTTCATTTACAAAGGCGATATTGTCAAGATTATTCTATTCCAAAACAAATTAAAACAATTTGCAGGATAATTAGATCGTTAGACTCCTTTAGCGTTCCGTTGAGCTCTCTTTATAGCCTCCTCTTTAAGGAGACTAGAAAGACTATTCGTTTAAGAATTGGAAAACCCCAACGTTTGTAGTGCTTAAATTTCAACGTAATAATATTAACTTTTTCGTGTCTGTTTCATTTTCTATAAGTTTCGATCGGCTCATATTAGAACGTACTTAAAGACACTTAAGCTTTAATTTTTCACTTAACGATAAGACGCACCGAAGGCAAGATCTTACGATATCCAATTCCTTTGTAATCCAAGTACAAAATACGTTATCGATTACCAGTTGCTGCTGTTCACGTAGCATGCGAAATTGTACAGTTGAAATTGACTCAATTATATAGCACTCAAGGAAAAAAGCGAAAATGTGATAAATTACCAAAGTTCGAAGAAAAGTTTAATTCTGTTTTAATTACTTTCAGACATTAGCAAAACCTTATTCCAGTAATTAACTTCTTCCGTCACGCCGGTCAATCATAGTGGATGGGCGATGAGTAAACCGCTAATCGCTGTAACTCAAATGTTTGTAATTAGCAAAAATTTATTGG